TCTTTATTTTTTGAATTGGCCAGTGGTGTTTTAGTACTCTCTGTTGCAGATACCTTCCCAGAATTACTAACATGGAAGAAACTAGTGACCAGTCTTTTCTCTTTGACTTTAGTGATACTATGGAGTTCTGGCACTGTATTTCAGCCTGGAATTGGACCTGCTTTCATGTCCTTGGAGCTGATGGATGAAGATGCATTGATGGATGATACATCAGACACATTGACTCTGGAGGAAGCGACTGTGAGTCTGACCCTCTAGGCAATACAAGTTGCAACAGATCATGATTTTTAAGATCAGGCAGCCAGGTGAACAGCAGCCTGGGCACTTTATAATCGAAAGAAAGACCATCTGTTAAATTAACGACAGCCACCAACGCAGTTGAAGAAAGAGGTGCATCATCTCCGAGAGAATCTGGTGCAAATTTGGAAAGCTCTTGTGAGAACCAAGGAGAATATCCACCAGAACACCATAGTACACTGGAAGTCCACAGTTGCATTGGAGGACTTGTTGTTAGGAGTACTTTTAGCTGAGTCACACTATCCTTTCCACCTAAGTTGTAAATAGTTTGTTAAATATTGTGTAGACACATGTGTATTTTTTGTACAGTTAATGTTTAAGAATTACTTTTCAATATGTTTCCAATTTTTTCTTTCTTTCTTTTGTTCAGTGCATATATGTGTATGTAGAGTCAGCTGCTAAATGATTTTTTATACATAATGCATCTGTGTTAAAGGGTCTTGTTTATTGTGAAATGTTTGTGTTAGAAGGTCTTGATTGAATATATATATATTTGTTAATTTGATATGTATCTTTGCTAAACATGTTGTTTTATTTTGTAGTGTATTTACACGGGAAAGTAAGTTAGTTTGACTTCTTGAGCATTGTATGAGGAAAATTAAATCTGCTTTATTTTTATTGATCTTTCTTTTTAGGCCAATACAGCCTAAAAAGAGAAGCTTTAGCACCAGGTTATAATACATATATGTTTACTATTCCTTTTAGATTAAATACTAAGTTTACTGAATTTTGCTGCTATTCTAAAGTCCCTGGGTTGGAACATAGCATTTCTCAAACAAGTATACAACTTTAACTTTCCACAGGGGCTTATTGAGTTAAATGGAAAATAGGTGCCTTCTTGTCCAATTCTATTGCAAGAATAACAACGTGCTTTTTACTTATCCCACTGAGTTATTCTCATTGACGAATCAGGCAGTAGCTGAAGGTGGACTCTTCTATGATCTTCACTGCCCATTGACCAACTAATCTAATAGACACCAATCATTATTTCCTTATGTCAAAGCTACGAGTTTATTGCCATATTTATGAAAAGTTGGTGCCTGAGAGAGCAGATTTTTCAGTTGATTTTACAAAGATTTTCACTAGACTTCTAACAAACCATAAGCAGACTTTTTATAGTTTCACAGCTTTTTTACATATGTTTTGTTTAGATTTAAGTGTAGTGTTTCAATGAATTTAGGAAAATTCCTAAAATTCTTGCCCTCCATTATAGTCACAGATTGGCATATTATTTCTCTTTAGTTTTACAAGTGGGGAACTCCACAGGGATTCTTGTAATTTTTGAGTTTATTTTCATTTTCAATTGTGTGGGGATTGAAACTGTGCCTATAGGTTTAGTAAGTAGTAATGGAAGTTCACCCGCGAGTGCATTATGTTAATTTATAATACGAATTATATTTTTTTATTACTGTTGTGGTGAAAAATGAACGAGAACTTGGATTTTGCAGGGATCTCATGAGAATTAACTCTAATATTTTACATTTTAACTTGGAGACATTTTTAATGATTCTCTTTTATATGTTAATCTAGGTTACAAGGGGAAGAACATATACCAGCAGGAGCTTATTTGTTCAATAAAGTATTTGTACCTCCAGCTGGTCACCCTTTTTTTTTTCATGCACAACACTAGCGAACAAACACTTAAAGTAATATATCAAAAATATATTTTACAACACTAGCTACGCCTCATGTGGCTCTTCACTTTCTATCGAACTACTGTTATGACTTATAAGTTGTCGCCAAATAATGATTAACAATTATCCATAGCTGAACAAATCACATAATATTATATTCTTTTTGTTGACATTTTTAGAACTTCAAAATAAATGACAATGTGTTCAAAATATTGCAGGTTAGATTTACTTCTCCAGGGTTTATAATTTATTTTTGAAAAGTTATCATAATTACAAAATATACGAATCAAGTTTAAAATGTCACACCAAGAATGTTAACAAATCGACTGGACTTAAATGTTAATATATACCACAACATAATAAAAAACCATCCACCGAGTATTTTGGGATCAGAGAATAACTAAGCATTTCAAAATTAGTTGTAGTTTTACTCAACAGATAGCAGAACAAGACAATGAATATTGTTACATTGTCTGACAATGGATATTACAAGTGGTTCTGAAAACATCACCAATTATTTGACTTGGCAGTTTGTATAACAAACTATGACGTTTATCATCTTACATACCATTGTATTTTGCATATTCCTGGACCTTGTATATATATATATTAAATAAAATTCTGCGCACTTTGTTTTGATCTTTTAACTCTCATCTCTTTTCATTTTTAATGTAACCTAACTCACAACTATTCATTTCATGGAAGTGAAAGAATAAACGTTTTCACACAGTAATGATTTTCTTCTCGACGTACACAACATAATAGAAACACCACTTTCTTAGCCCTGTAGCTATAGCAAGTTAATTTCCTTTATACTCAGAAAGTTGTGTTTAAGTGGCATCTGTTGGAATATTATAAATCATGATAACTGCATGCAAGCTGTTTTATCAAACTTAACCATACATAGAAGGATGGATACTGATAAAAGGTTACGTTACATAAGAACCAAATATCTTGAGATAAGAGCTTTGGGTTTTAATACAAACAAGAATATGGCAGTTCACCTATATACACTATGCAGATAAAATATTGCATAGTATTTAAAGAAATACTTGTATACAAACACACACAAATATATATATATAACTAGTTCTAATGCTATTAAATACATTACTTGTCAATGGGCGATTAAATCAGTACTATAAAACAATACTGAACTTAATATAAAATAAAACCAATTTCACAGTGAGACTAAAAAATATAAAAAAATATTTTTTCATTACCAAAAATAAATAAATAAACAATCCAATAAACCAGTGGACACACTTATTTGAGTAATTTTGGTTATTTTGATCTCTCAGACTGTTTAATATTCTTCAGAATACAATCACGTGATATTTCTAACGTATGAATTGTAACCCCAAACGGTTTAAAAGCATTTTCTGTAAACAATAATTTTGTTTGTTTGTTTTATTGAATTTTACTCAAAACTATTCGAGGACTAACTGCGCTAGACATCCCAAATTTTGAAGTGATAGACTAGAGGGAAGGCAGATAGTGAACACCACCAATTCTTGGGCTACTCTTTCATTTTCACATTTTAAAGCCCCAAAAGATGAAAAGGCGAACACGTTCGGTGACGGGATTCGAACCCGCAACACGAGTATTGCAAATCTAATGTTTTTTTCTCTTTATTAATCCACCTTCATAGAATATCTTAACCACCAAGCCACGATCACTAATGGATAGTCTTTTGTTTGTAATAATAAATGGTAAAACCCTCGTGTCAATGAAAGAGAAATTTGGAAAACTTCAAATTTAGGAAGTACAATATCAGATTAAGAACACAAGGTGATCAAGTCTATTTTTAAGTATTAACCTTTCAGCGTGGAAAAAGGTCCTTGAATTATGCTTACTGTGTCTTCTGTATTTCTCGTTTAAGGTAATACATCTTCTGTACATGCATTTCCTTTAACATTTGATTATGAATTTCACCTAACTTTCAATAACGCACGTGACGTAATAAAAATACTTAATCGTAATGAATATTGAGACAGTTTTATTGTCAGAATGACGGGATAATTTTTCCAATGACAGGAGACTGTAAACTAAATAGATGCTGTACAAAACCAATAAACTCTCCGAAAAATGTTTTTTGTAAAACTATAGTTCCATTTCTAACGTTGACTAAAAGTGTAACTGAAATTATATATTCAGTCTAATACTAGATTAACAAAACTAAAATTACCGATCTTTGTTTCAAAACAGGGAAAACTTCTACTTAAACTATTTGTGTAGTTTCTTTACCGGAAATTGATCCCCTTAATTAATATATTTTGCTAATTTTGTTTTATAACAGTTAACTCAAAAGCGTGAAATCTTCAAGTCCTTCCTCAACTTACTGAACTCTCTCTTTTTAACAATAACTCTAATTCTCGTTCATGACACCAAATTCACCATTTTAATATATCTCTCTCTAATCTCGAAGTAGCGCAATGAACTTCCGTTTACAATCTCTCTTTAAACTATTTTTAGAGTAGTAAACTCACCTATTCAAAATCATTTCTTGCAGAACACTTAAATAACTTACCTGAAATCTTCCTCCCACAAAACAGGTATTTTATACGTTCGAAGTGACTCTCTAATCTTCCCTAAAAACAACGAGCTCACCTATATGGAATTACTTTCTAGCTGTCACTACAATCAGTGAACTCAACTTTACGAAACCACCCTCTAGCCTTTTCTGAGATCAATAAACTCATCTATATGGAAACACTCTCTAGCTTTCCCTAAGAACAGCGAGATTATCTCTACGTAATCACACTCTAGCTCTCCCTAAGAACAGCGAGATTATCTCTACGTAATCACACTCTAGTTCTCCCTGAGAACAGCGAGATTATCTCTACGTAATCACACTCTAGTTCTCCCTGAGAACAGCGAGATTATCTCTACGTAATCACACTCTAGTTCTCCCTGAGAACAGTAAATTTACTTTTATTGGACCATTCTCTAACTCTAATAAAGAACAGTGACACTCTTAAATTGAATAGCTCTCTAACTCCACCCCTTCTCTAAGAACAGTGTGCTTACCTGTATGGAATCATGCTATCTGGCTCTTCCAGCGTGTTCTTGTCTGAAGTCACCTTGATCGCCCATTCTGGCTCCTCTTCCGACTTGTTCTCCATATTTAAAATGTTATTTATATTCCTTGTTCATTGTTGCTGTGCTGGAGAAGAACAAGATTAGAAGATTTAGTACGTACAAATTGCATCCCCAATATAAAATGTAGCCAAATTTCGGTTAAATAACCAACACTCTTATATAAACCTTTGGAAATAGAAGTTTGTCTAATATCGTTATTTTTTCACGTTTCTTACGAAAATGTATCTAAATATCATCCTAAAATTCACTACTTTATTCTTATTTAAAGCCCACTTATTGTGTGTTTTCTCAATAAATTTATTAAGTTAGGTCAAAAATCGACCTTTCTTTGTCACCGTATCACACCAACAAAAAAGAGAGTTGACATTTGTTTGTTATCCTATCCCACCAACAAAAATACAGTTGACATTTGTTTGTTATCCTATCACACCAACAAAAAAGAGTTGACATTTGTTTGTTATCCTATCACACCAACAAAAAAGAGTTGACATTTGTTTGTTATCCTATCACACCAACAAAAAAGAGTAGACATTTGTTTGTTATCCTATCACACCAACAAAATACAGTTGACATTTGTTTGTTATCTTATCACGCCAACAAAAATACAGTTGACATTTGTTTGTTATCCTATCATACTGACAAAAATAGTTACAAATGATTGATTGAAGTTCAGATAATTAAAACTTATATGACATCTACTTAAGCTTTCATTTAAAAATATATTAACTAATTTTACTTTAAAATAAGAATTAAAAATAATTTTCCATTTTCATTTTCGATTCGCCTATAAGCAATGTTGCCATAAAATAAAAGTTGAATGGTACGTCATAGACGAATGAAACCTGAAATTTGGATTAACTCAGGAGTGAGCATCAAACTTTCACTGATGTTGAATGTGTGTCACCTTTAGCAGGGTGCCGACACAACATCAGTTGTTCGTTATACGTATTGTTATTGGGAGAGGGAGCTGCAGGGTGCTGACACAACATCAAGTGCCCATTTGGCAAGTATGACTGCACCCAGTATAGGCAAGATCTAATAAACTATTAATCAAGGATGATCTGGGTAAATTAAAAAAAAAGTTCCCTAGATCTCCAAAACTGTTGCAATACATCATCACAGTATTGGCCACGATGCAGGGGTTTGCCGCTAATGTTGTACCACCAATGACGCCATTCCTGTAGTCATATTTTACAAGGTTTTTTCTTTTGTTGTGTTTCGTGTTAGTCGAGCACTGGAGGAGTGAAATTTTGAACTCGTTGTATTAACGACTGTGTGCAAATCAAGCGACTGAGGGTTCTCCTGTAACAATGTACATTTCCATTCAAATTTTACTTTGGTGATCAAATCCAACACAATCGTGGTAGGTATTTAGGTTTAATAATAACCTAGGGCAACACACTTTGGACTTTGAATAAACACAGCCTTACACTGACCCAGGCCTCTCACATTGCTTTGGAACGGAAACTATCTCTCCGCAACGCTTAGCGGCAGATGCGGAAAGGAAAAATAAAGTATATATATCGGTGAAACCAACAATACGATAAGGAAAAATAAAGTATATATATCAACCAACAATACGATAAGGAAAAATAAAGTATATATATCAACCAACAATACGCTAAGGAAAAACAAAGTATATATATATATATATATATAGGTGAAACCAACAATTCGACAAGGAAAAATAAAGTATATATATCAACCAACAGTACGATATCCTAGCAGGATATCAAATTCTTCCAATTGTTTTATTTAGTAAGAACATTCTGTGAAGTATCTATCCTTTTTCTGAACATATAAAAATCTCAAAGGTTTAATATAAAACATATCGGGACTTTCTGGCTCACACCACTCACTTTCAAAGATAACAGATCGATTATAAGGAATGTCACCAAATAGAACTCGTTTGTTTCAGACGAAAAAGTACACCTGCTGTAGACTTTGTTACATAGCATATGCTGAGTTGCTTCATTTTAAAACGTCCATTAATTAAGTGAAACAATACTGACTTCGAGAAGTCTATACTGCATCATTTCGAAATTAACTAAATTTTTTACGGGTAAACACATTATATAAAAGTATGCAATCTCAAATATGGAGTTAACTAACTACATATTAAGTGCAATAAAATATATGAAGATAAAGATATCCAGTAAAATAAAGATGAACAAAAATGTAAAACAAAACAAAAAAAAAACATTTGCCATATAAGAGTGATTAAGGTATGTTAACCTTTTATTCAAATGTACTTTCCAAGTCCCAAAGGCAGGGAAAAATCATTAATAAATTGCAACAAGGGAAATATATTTGACGGAATCAATACCTGAATGAACGAAAAGATATAAAATGGAAAAGAATATTTATTTTATTGGAAAACTGCTCTATGAATCATCCGCAGTGTGATCACCGCTGAGATCGAACTTTCCATTTTAGAGTTATACTCCCAGAAGCTTACTGCTAACTGTGAGCCATAAGGCAAGACCACCGAATTGATATCGCACGTGTCTCTATTAAAATCCTGCATTTAATGCAGAATAAGCTAGTTATTAGTGATTTCACAAGCAGATGAATTCAATAAACCGTTCTTTCACTGTAAATTTCCACAGAAACTTTCACTAGGCTAGCTCCTTACCTTAATCATGATTTAATAAGTTTAAGCAAGATAATATAAAAGCTTAGTTCCATTAAGTTTCAATAAAAACAAAGAAATAATCTCCTTCCCTAAGGAATACTTTTAATCGATCCAGCTGTTATCCTCGACGTCATTATATTAGTTGTTAAACAACATTATAGAGTGACTGTGTTCAGCCAACCTGGTGTTGTAGGGTTAGAAGGGCATGCTAGGAATAAATTAAAAGCAGGCATATAATAAAAAATGGTACAATGATCCATTCCATTACGTATTAAGGAATCAAAACAACAAAGTCTCACAAACACTGCCTACCATCCAGAACTTTCCTCAACCATTACACATTGCCCTGAAAGAATATACCATGCGTGTTTTTAGTTATTGATAAGTAAGGTATTTTCAGAATTACAGCTTTTGTGAAGCAAATGCACGAAATAGTTAGCAAAAAGAATAAATTATAACGTTAATTAAACTGTTTTATAAAACGAATTTAAACAAAACATCTTCTTAAAATTAAATTTCGTTCCTGCAACAAAACTACATAATCAAAGTCTCATTTTCTTGCAGAAAGATACTTTACGTTTAAGCAGTTATTTTATTTTTAAATACACACTGAAATATCAGGCAGGCGGTAGCACTACCTATGGAGGGATGGCTCGGACTGTTCATCGAAATGGTATTTTAAATATCTCCTCAATAAGTCATCAGAACTTTATAATACTATACAGTGTTTCCTTTTATAACAATATCTATGTAATGTCTGAGTCACGAGTTCTAGGAATGTCTGTAAATATCATAGCAAAAAGTATGAATTTCTTGTTCTTCTTTCTTCTGCTTCTTTGTTTATTACATGATAACTCAAAAAACCAAAACAATAGTATCAACCAGTTTCACTGAGGTGACAATTTCAAACGGAGTATCCGCTTTTATAAGGGTTATTAACTAGTAGTAATTAAAAAAATATCATAATTATAATGTAAAGGATGTTATCATTACCCCTTGAAGTTAGCTTTTGTACAGAAATTTGGTATTCCTTTAAAAAGCTTGGGTACAGAGTGAAACAGGAATTAAAAGCCAATAATAGATAAAAAATAAATATTACAGTAGGAACGTCTTTGTATTTATAACATGGTTATAAATACAACCTTCATGTGTCTATTGAAACACTTTATTAAAAAACTTTCCAAAAAAGAAAGTAAATGTAGGGATAGCTAATATCAATCCTTCAAAAACAATACAAACAAGATATTAGGGATAGTATTTGCATCATACCTACATAATAGCACAGGCAAGAATTAACATCTATATATAATTATATTAGTACCATCTGTTGTTTGTCCATGTAACTACTTCGCAAGGTGTAAATGGATTTTCACCAAAAATGGTGTGTAGGTTCATTAGGTCCATGCGGGAGTACATACAAATTTTCAGTTGTGCATTTTATGTTTTGCGGTTTTTATAGGCGTTTTCGCGTTTTTTACCACTACTTCACCCCTGTGGATGGATCTTCACCAAGTTTGGCATGAAGGTTTGTTTGGTCCTCGAAGAGATACATACAGATTTTCAGTTGTGCATTTTGTGTTTTGCGGTTTTTTATGGGTATCTTTTATCACTACTTTGCTCCCTGTTGATGGACCTTTACCAAATTTTGCAGGAAGGTTTGTTGGGTCCATGCGCAGATACATTCAAACTTGCGGTTTCACATTTTGTGTCTTGCAGCTTTTATTAGCGTTGTTTACAATTATATATAAGGGGACGGGTACTCCAGCTAGTCTAGCAATATATATATATATATATATATATATATATATATATTTCATCACAATTGAGTTTGATATATCCTATTTTTGCCTGTTAACATTCTACTATACGGTGTGCCTACGCTATTATGTAGGGATAACGTACGACTCGGTTTTGGTTTGGTTTGAGTTTCACGCAAAGCTACACTGTGGCTATCTGCCCTAAAGGAAAGGCATCTAGTAACACCACCCACCGCCAACTTTTGGGCTACTCTTTTACTAAAGAATAGTGGGATTGACCGTCACGTTATAACGTCTTCACAGCTGAAATGGCGAGCATGTTTTGTGTGACGGGGAACAACTCGGGAAACATTGTCTATGGAGGTATTACGTTCAGACCAGACTTAGAGTCCATTAAGGTATATTTTTCTGATCGAGAGAAGATAATTAGAAAAAATGTTTGTTTGTAATTAAGCACAAAGCTACACAATAGGCTATCTGTGCTCTGCCTACCACGGGTATCGAAACCCGGATTCTAGCGTTGTAAGTCCGCAGACATACCGCTGTGCCACTGGAAGGGGGGGGGGCTAGAAAAATTGAAGACATACTTTTAGTGCTATCTTAATCGACTACTTTGAATGTCTTCCTCGGTTTTTAAAAGAAAATCCAGAAATGTTTTGGACTGTTATGTGA